AACTGCAGCTGCAGGTGAAACTGTACATGAAGAGGATTTTAATAGGCAAGAAAATACTGTGCTGAGCAGGCTGAAGTCAAGTTACAGCCGAGCCTATAGTATGAAAAAGAGTCCCTCACCTGCAATATCGAATGAAGAATCTATGGGAAGTTCACTTGAAAAACTGGTCAGTATTTAGGTTAGCTTCATTTATCTTATGTGTTTAGAATACTTCCTTTCACAATTGCTGCATCATCCAATATAATTTATTCTAATTAAACTATGTCAGGCGGTACCTCTTAGATTGAGCAGTCATCAGATTCTCCTTCTTCTTTCATCAGTTTGGGAGCAATCTATTTATCCTTTAAATACACCAGAAAATTACGAAGCAATAGCTAATACGTACAGCCTGGTTTTGCTGTTTGGAAGGACCAAGGTACAATTGCCATGTTTTTCTCCATATATACTTTTATGTAAAATTGACTTATGAATCCAGTTCTGTTGTCCAGTTTATCTTAGCATGCAGAGCACTGTTAGTTGAGGCTGAGCTGGTTAATGTTAAGCTTGATATAGTGGCATATTTTGTGATAATCCACATCTCCCATTGATAGTCTAAAAGGAAAGATCTCTGCTTACATGTGTGGGTCTATGAAATTAAAGTATTGTTTTCTGTTGGTTAGATTGCAGATTCCATATGACTAGGCTTCTGTTACCATAGGGACTCTTCCTTGATATTTTAACTTACATCTACTCTGTCAAGAAACAAGTAGATAATTAACTGGAAAATATCTCTTACATTTTTAATTAAATAAACTTGATATGCTTGTGAAACTGGAAGGAGGATACTGGGATTAATACAGTGCATAAAAAGAAAAAATAAACTGCTGGGACTTCACAATTTAGTCAACCTGATGTGCGACAGTACTTAAGATGTTAAGGCTCCACTTTGAGTAATCAGTTTGGTGTTGCCTTGTATAAGGAAGGAATAAACAAAGACCATGACAGTGGAGCTGAGAAACAGTGATAATCAATTATGTACTGTTATGGATGTATTTGTAGGGCCTAAATAAGATATTGAAATTTAATTAAATATGAAATGCTAAGTAGTATTCGATTTTTAAATAATAAAAGATTGAAGTTCAATTAAATATGGAATCCGAATTAGTATTAAATTTCTAAATAATATATGATTTTCCATTAGTATTAGATTTGTAAATAGTAAACATGAAATTCTAATTAGTATTGTATTTCTAAATAATATTGGATTTTTAAATAGTATATGATTTCCAATATTTTAGTTCAGTATTTTTTAATTAGACTTACACTCCTAATTAGATTAATATTATTAAATAAGAATTGCAAGCTTTATTTAAAGATATACGTTTGTAATTAATAAAAGTAAGTCAGAATTTATCTCAAAGTATAAGATTGGAGCTCTCTCAAACGAGATCCAAGGTAGTAATTCTCTTTGATGAACTGTAATCTATTTCCACAAAATAGGTTGCTCTTGTAATAAGAATGAGGGTATTAATCATTGGTTGAAAGACTATTTTGTTGTTAATCGACCGTTGATTGATCCTTAAGTAGGAAACATAATAATTTGGTATTAGAAGCATACACTATGGGCGAGCAAGGACTACATGAGGCATTGAAAATCTGGTCGTTGAATCAGAGGCTCGGATGGTTGTTAAGCTGCAGCAATTGTCTCAGCAGATGGAGACTTTTCTTCAAAAAACCACCAGGTTGCGTGGTAGGGATTTATAGGACGGAACATAAGCCGACAATAGCCACACAGTCCAATTTGGTCTCGCTGATAACCAGCCAGAATTGCATAGTATAAACACAGAGCTGGAAAACAGAGGAATTATCTTGCTCTACACCAATCTAGACTTCCCCACCTACGGTGGGGATAAAAAATCCTTTGATATGGCTTCATCAATGCGAGCAATTCTTTATTTATTAGCACACTGCCATATTTGACAAGATTAGTATAACAATTTTTCACATGTTAGGAGAAACCCAACTTTGGTACTATAAGCTACAGCAAGAAGAGCTGGACGTAACATGGGAAACATTCGCGGAGTATTGCACCCTACGGTTTGGACCACCCCTACAAAAGTAACCCTTTCGGTGCGAATTGGTCAATCTTAAGCAAACGGATTTGGTTAAGAAGTATCAACGATAGTTTCAGAGGTTGCTAGCCTGAACCTCTATGGTAAACCGTGATCAGTAAGTAGATTTGTTCACAATAGAATTGATTGATTCTCTTTGTTTAGAGATCGAGATGCAATCACCACCACTCTTGTGGATGTAATGAGTATGACCAGAACTTTTGAAAGGAAACAACAGTTGTGGGTTATGACCAAATACAATTATAGTGACCATTCTCAGTCTGTAACCAAGTTTAACAATTCAGTTTAGAAAACACTGGATCCACATGTCAACAACATTACGACACAATTTTGTAATGCTCTCTCTCCATTTATAAAGAAACTAATAAGGGCAGAGATTGCCGAAAAGAGGTTGAATGAGCTGTATTATAACTGCGATGAGCCATTTGTTCAAGATTGTCAATGTAAACTGCTGTTCTCGGTCAAGATTGAATGCGAAGCCGGTTCTAGGCAAAAAGAAAAGATTGACAAGTTAGTTATATTCATATTTTAAGTTTGAGAATAAATATGAAGGATAGCGAAACTAATGTTACAGATGCATTTCTAGAGTCCAAATAGAATATTCAAATTAAATTAAATATGAAATTATAATTAGTATTAGATTTTTAAACAATAGGAGATTGAAGTTCAATTAACTATGAAATGCTAATTATTATTAAATTCTTAAATAGTATATGATTTTTCATTAGTAGTGGATTTTTAAATAATGAACATGAAATTTTAATTAATATTACATTCTTAAATAGTATATAATTTCCGATTAGTATCAGATTCTTAAATAGTATAGAATTTCTAATATTTTAATAAAATATTTCAAATTAGATTTAGACTTCTAATTAGATTAACGTTATTAAATAAAAATTTTAACCTCTATTTAAAGGAGTACGCTTGTTGTTAATAAAAATAAGTCAGAATTTATCTCAAATTATAAAATTAGAATTCTCTCAAACGAGATCTAAGATAGCAGCTCTATTTGATCAGTTGTACTTTATTTCCACAAAATAAGTCGCTTTCATAGTAAGAACGAGGGTATTAACACCTTACTAGAAAACAGTGTTGTTTTTAATTGCCCCGTCACTTGATGCTTAAATAGGGAACATAACACGTACTGAAGGCGAGATGAGGGAGAGAGAAATCATAGCTCT